GCCCCACCACCATCTGCACTAGAAATATAAAGCAGAACCATACCACTTTAAGCCAGTTTTCACCCAAAAAAATCCTGGGAACTGTAGTTTGCTGAGAGTTTTTAGGAGAGCCATATTCTCCTCACAGAGCTACAATTCCCAGAGTTTCCCGGGAAGGGAGATTTTGACTCTTAATCCAGGATGGGAATCCAACTCCTTAATAACTCCTGTCAGTGGCCCTTTGGGTGTTGTTGGACTACAACTCCCATCATCCCTGACCATTGGCCATTCTGACTGGGACTGAGGAGAACTGTAGAGTCCAGGGAGATGCCAAGGACTGAACCTGCGACCCTCTGCACACAAAGCATATGTGCTCTACTGCCGTGCTGTGATACACCTCCTTTTAGCTAGCAGGTTTATTTGCCATTTTTTCCACCTTTTTTCCTTCTCTTTTTTAAAGAATTGTTTCTGGTGGAGGTTTGGTGCGCTCCAGTGGCTGCGGGTAGACACTGCACCTATATTCAAATATTTCTTACCAGAAAATTATCAGAGCTTGTTACTCTTCACGTCCGTTCATGTGGTCATTTCCTCTCTGTTTTGGGGAAATGAGCTGTTGTCTGTGGCATTTCACTTCAGCGGAGCCTTTATCATCCTGTGATATATTCTGTATCACTGCTCTAAGCCCTCAAACTTCCTCTCCTTCCCAGGGCCAACCCAAGACGTTTTGGCACCTGAGGCGAACCACATTTTGGCACCCCCTCCCCACCAAGGAAGAAGGGCTGAGTGAACATCTACATCAGGAACAAGGTAGAAATAAAGATATACATTGGGATCTGCTGCCCCTGTGGTTTGGGCCGCCTGAGGCAGTTGCCTCATGGGTGGGCCGGCCCTGCCCCTTCCATATTTCTGAGGTATTTCATAGTTCACTTCCAGACAGATTGCAGTTCTCTCCCCCCCCCCCATAATTTTTATTAAATTTTCTGTTTTACATTTCAGAATATTCATTCAAACCACCTTAAAATATCAGTGACTTCCCTTCTTCTCTTCCCACGGTTCATTTTGCATAACATAAATCCCTGCGTATTTTATATAAACTAACCCATTCAGTATTCCATTATTACATCCATCAAAACTTATTTACACTGTTGAATTTATCTTAATGCTGCCCACGTTTTCAAATATACACAATTTCTCCCCCATATATTCAATAAACATTTTCCAATCTTCTTTAAACACATGTTTTTCCTGTTCTCTTATTCTGTATGTTAGGTCCACAAGCTGCACATATTTCATCAGTTTAAGTTGCCATTCTTCTTTAGTTGGGACCTCACTCATTTTCCATTTTGGGGCTAACAAAACACGGGCCGCAGTAGTGGCCTACATAAACAACCTTTTTTTGACACCTGGGAATTTCCATCTGAATTATCCCCAACAAAAAGGACTCTGATTTTTTTGGGGAAAGTATTTTTAAACATTTTTTTTTTCAATTCACTATGAATTATTTCCCAATACTCTTTTACCATTTTACAGATCCACCACATATGACAGAATGTACCCTCAGTCTCATTGCATCTCCAGCAGTTCTAGAGCTTCAGCTGGACTTTGGGATTGCTGTTTAGTCTCAAATGGCAAGTGTTGTCCATCTCTTCTTTTGTGTCCATATCTTTTTCTTCACATTTAGTCAGGAAGCTCGTGTTCATACTCAAATGTAGGAAGCACATCTGGTTCCGTTCACATACCAGGGAAAGAAGTTCTTCATGTGCTCAGACAGACAAGTAGGGAAGGGCCAGTATCACCATAACCAGCTTCATGCATTTTATATCCCATACACACTTTCCTGGGAGTAAGGGCCCCTCCAGACATCTGTTTTATTCCTTCTCCTTGAGGGACGGCCTTCTCAGCTTGACAAGCCCCCTCTGCCCCTCACTTCCCTTTACAATACATGCAGAAACCACCTTCTTGATTGTTGGACCTGCTAGGGGGTCTCGTCTGCTCAATCCACTAGAGCCTGTAGCATGCAGGTAAAGTCCCTTAGTCACTGAAGGTTTGGGACCCATTGGCTACCCTCACCTGGTTTAGCCAGCCAGCTGAAGACATTGGCTCCCAGTATGTTTCCGAGCCTAGCAGTTTGAAAGCACGTCAAAGTGCAAGTAGATAAATAGGTACCGCTCCGGCGGGAAGGTAAACAGCGTTTCCGTGCACTGCTCTGATTTGCCAGAAGCGGCTTAGTCATGCTGGCCACATGACCTGCAAGCTGTACGCCAGCTCCCTCAGCCAATAAAGCGAGATGAGCGCCGCAACCCCAGAGTCGGTCAGGACTGGACCTAATGGTCAGGGGTCCCTTTACCTTTACCTTATGTTTCCGAGCACAATTCAAAGTGTTGGTGCTGACCTTTAAAGCCCTAAATGGCCTCGGCCCAGTATACCTGAAAGAGCGTCTCCACCCCCGTCGTTCAGCCCAGACACATAGATCCAGCTCCAAGGGCCTTCTGGTGGTTCCCTCACTGCAGGAAGTGGGGTTACAGGGAGCCAGGCAGAGGGCCTTCTCGGTAGTGGCGCCCGCCCTGCGGAACGCCCTCCCATCAGATGTCAAGGAAATAAACAACTGACTTTTAGAAGACATCTGAAGGCAGCCCTGTTTAGGGAAGTTTTTGATATTTTATCATTTTTTAAAAATATTCTGTTGGGAGCCACCCAGAGTGGCTGGGGAAACCCAGCCAAATGGGTGGGGTAGAAATAAATTGTTGTTGCTGCTGTTGCTGCTGCTGTTATTTCCTGGGATGTGGTCTGACAGGCTGACAGCTTCTAGGAGCCACAGGTGGGAGCTGAGTGCAGGATGGGGACCATAGGTGAACGAACTACCCCAGAAAGAGCATGTTGTGTCCCCCACCAGAGGTACTACCCCTTCCCCAGAACCCCATAGCAAACTGAAAACTGAAGCAAAACTGAAGCTGCAATCCTATATATACCTATTTGAGAGTAAGCCTCATTGTATACAGGGGCTTCATTCCAATAGGATTGGAGTGTGCAGGTCTTTGCAAAATAGTCATAATACATTCGCACCAAGCCTCTTCGGCTTGCCAATCAGAAGTTCGGTGGTTTGAATCCACTCGACAGTGGTGAGCTCCTGTTGCTCTGTCCCAGCTTCTGCCAACCTAGCAGTTCAAAAGTAGATAAATAGGTACCACTGCGGCAGGAAGGTAAACTGTGTTTCCGAGCGCTCTGGTTTCCATCACAGTGTTCTCTTGCGCCAGAAGCGGTTTAGTCACTCTGGCCACATGACCCGGAAAGCTGTCTGTGGACAAACGCCGGCTCCCTCGGCCTGAAAAGCAAGATGAGTGCCACACCCCATAGTCGCCTTTGACTGAACCATCCAGGGGCCCTTTACTTTTTTACCCTTACCATAATACAATACACTGATATATTCAATTGTCAGTGAAAGAAAATGGGGCTTTGCTTGTAGTTTGGCCTCAACATTTGTCTTTACTTCCTGCAGAGGGCTGCAAACCCTAGGTCATCAGAGAACCTGGTGAGGAGAGAGAGATTGAGCTTGCTCCATGAAATGCCCATATCTAAGATTGCGAGAAAATCAAAATTAGTTTTATCAGCCTAATAGGCTGCACTCATTTTGAGAGAAACCGTTTTATTCTGTCATGGGAATGAAATGTTCTGTGCCTGGGTGTGCTGGTCCTGGGGGCTAACCGAGAGGCGAGGTCCGAGTCCAGTCCGCAGTCGATGGTGAGGTATGGAGGCTGTCCGTCAAAGCAGTAGCTGGGTCCAAGGCAGGGAGCCTGGTGGGGTCAGGAACTCTGGCAGAAGAGCAGGACAGGGTGCAAGCAGGAACAGACTAGCAACAACGTTGCTCCCGCAACCTGGGACTGGAGCTGGCTGGCTTTTGTCTGCCCCGAGGCATAGGACCGCCCCGGTCCACAGGTGACTCGCCTCTCCTGGCCTGGAGACGCTCGAGCCCTCCTCCTGCGGGAACTTAGTTCCCTCCGCCTCTCTGCCCTGAGCCTCTGCAGCTCAGGAGAGGCTGGAGGGTTACCGGACCCAGAGGCAACCTCCTCCTCCCCTGACAGGCCTGAGAGTGGAGCACCTGCAGGCAATGGGACCTCCATCACCTCTGGAGCCAGAGCAGACTCAGCTGGTGCCTGCACCTGAGGATCCAGCACAGGTGAGGACCCTTCAGGCTCAAGTCCCAGCCCGGCTCAGCTGGTTCTGGAGGCAGGGAATCCTGTGCAGGCTGGGATTCCTCAGGTTCAGCCTCTGAGTCCGAATCCCAGGCCATGATACTGGGAAAGCATGCATTTACAAATCTATTAAATCAAGTGCTGTTTGAACACCACCCAGGTGAGACTATAACAGGGCAAGGACTTTATCCCTCATCCCATATGACTGTGAATGTCTTCTGCACCTACACCCTGAGTGGCATCATTACCATGCCTCTGCCCTATTTTGGCATTTGGGCACACTACCATTTCCCAAAGTATGCCTTCCAGACAGTATTCCTTTAGCTGACATACATGGGCATACATCTTGCCTACTCAGACAGACTTCTGTACAGCGGTACCTCGGTTTTCAAACATCTCCGCTAACAAACGTTTCGGTTTTCGAATGCGTCTCGGAAGTCAAACATGAAACGTGGCTTCTGTATTGAGTTTTCCGTTTTCAGGCTTCCGTACTGAGTTTTCCATACTGAGTTTTCTATATTGAGTTTTCCAATTTGATGCTTCCGTGCTGAGTTTTCAGGTTTCGAACGTTTCGGAACTCAAATGGTCTTTTGGAATGGATTACGCTCGGAAACAGGACTGTGATGTGCCTACAGTTACATCTTGCATTCCCTTTCCTTTTGCCACACAGTCTACGTTTTTCCTCCAGCTTAACCCCTTTCATGCATCTGGTGCCATTGGCTCCAGACCACACAAAAGCTGATGGCACCATAATGCAGGGGTTTGTACTTGCCACAATAACAATATAAATATGCTATGATGTACTGTATTTATTATACTGAATTTCTCTGATCACTCCATTCGTTCTCCATACACACGAAGCCCATAGATGCAGGTGTAGTTTGGATGGTCCCAGTTGCTCAAAATCTTCAAGAGCAGGTATTGAAATTTACCTGAATTTTCTCTCTGAAAATACAGGGACAGAAATAAAAGGTTACGGTTTGCTTCCTGTAAAGTATATTTTGTTGCATGAGTGCCAACTTGGCACCGCAACTGTGGGTGCCATGTGGCATGCATGAACCTGGCACAGAAAATTGTGAGTGCCCGGCCCCTTCATGGGGAACTTTGTGGGTGCTCGGTCACCCAGGGCCCCAGGAGTTGGCACCTATGTTTTGTTGTGAATTCCTCCATATCCCCCACCATTGAGATACGTGAGCTAAATGGCACAGCAAAGCTATTGGCAAGAGAAATTCAGAGACCTTTAGTAACATCTGTGCGTTGATGTGGTTAGAGTGTTGGCCTAGAAGCTGGGAGACCAGAGAACAAAATCCCCACTCAGCCCCGGGTGACACTCTCCATCTCTCAGCCTAACCAACCTCACAGGGTTGTTGAGAACAGTGTTGTTATTTTTTCTAGAAAAAGAGGTGCCGGAACTCACCACAAACGCCTCCCTTGTTCTCCTATATAATGGCAATGGTGCCCACCTGAGAGGTGCCGGAACTGAATTCCAGTCAGTTCCGGCTGAAAAAACAAAGCCCTGGTTGATTGGATAAAACATGGGGGAAAGGAAGCAGAACCACATATGCCACCTTGACACACACACAGAGATCTTTTCTCTGGGGAGTAGCAGTCCCCTTAAATGACCGTCTCCAGAACTTGCAGAGCTCAAAACACAGCTCAGCTCTCTTCGTCGTGCTTCTCCAGGTCTCTCCAAAACTACATCCCATTCCCGTTGTTCCCTTTCATAGACATACACACAGGGATAGAGATTATATCATCCTAAACTAGGGAGGAAAGTATGCCCTTCCTTCTGATCATTCTTTCCTAGTCTAAAAACCCTGGAGGAAATCTTCAGAAAGCTCCCACTGAGATACATGATCTTTAACACCTCTTTCTTGCCATCCATATTTGTCACAGTTTCATATCTGCAGAGGCGGGCTTTGGTAATATGGCGTCTTGTGCGAGGTCAAACTGTGGTGCCCTCAAATGGATCTCCCCAATTTTGCTTCCCTTCCCCCCCCCCATTTTGGCGCCCTAAATTCAGTGCCGGTATCTGAGATGCCCTATTTGTTTCAATTGGTTAATCATTTCACTAACCAGTTATCGTCATAACAATTATTCATCTAAATCTGAATACTAAACCCACCTATCTATCCATTTCGTTTGCTCTGAATTGTTGACGTTGCTGTTTTTATATATGCCAGTAGCCTCTTTGGGGATCTTTGGTCAAGAGGCAGGTTACAAATATTTTCATTAATAACGTGAATAATAAAAGCTGGACATTCCCAGCTTCTTAGATACCAGGGTTGGCTAACTGATAGAGCAGAGTTTTACTGGTCAAGGCCACCCCAAAAAATTGGCTGTGGTTGGTAACCTAAACTCAGAGTAATCGCATATTATACTTTGGGGTGTTCAGAATGCCATGCTAAATTAACATCTGGCCTTTTAGTGAAGTGCAGACGACAGCTCTCTCCGAGACTTCCAGGAAAAATCAAGGGGCCAGATTCAGCTAAGAGCAAGGTTTCCAACTAGCACTATTGCCACCTCATCTCCATTCACGCAGCCCCCCAAATCCCCTCTCAGGGGTCAGGAGAACCCCTAGAATAGTGGGGGGGAGAGAAAAGAGAGGGGATTGTGCCACCTGGGAAGCAAAAACACTTGCACTGACAGAACGATTAGAAGATTGTGGTGTTTTGTGTCTGGGTGGGTGACTCCATCTTTCAAACCCTGTGTGTTCTTTTCCCCCATGTTCTGTGGCAAACCCTAACTATTGGATTCTTTTGCCCCATCTTTTTGTGCCTGCCAAACAGCCGTATCATACTTACAATATTTTATTCTCTTGTTAATTATGCTGTTTTAAATGTGCATTTTATATTTGATTTCATTTAGCAATGTTTTGGGGTGCGGTGGGTTTTTTTGAAACTTTTAAGATTTGTTGTTGTTGTTAACTTTATGTTAAATATGTATTCTGTAGCTGACCTCCTTTGTAATGTTTTATTTTGCAATCTTTAAGATAGAAGTTTAGTTTTCTGTTAGTTATGTTGCTTTGACTGTATACTCTATATTTGACTTTCTTCAGAAATGTTTGATTCTGGATAGTTTCATTGGTGTTTTAATATGCTGTAAACCACTTAGAGATTTTTCTTAAAAATATAAAGCAATATAGAAATGAAATATAGTAATAATAATAATAATAATAATAATACCTCCAGCTTAAAAGTTTGCGTAGGGAAACCATCGATTCTGTAGACAAATGACCCTAAAAAGTTCCCTTCCTCCTTCTCAAAATCATCTTTGAATCCCTGAGAAGAGACAAAAGGGGAAAGCTGAAGAGATATGATAAGAGGCTTCAAAGAAATGAACCAAAGGTTATTATACAAACATTGATAAGTGTTCTTTTTTTTAAAAAAAACCAAAAACTTCCACCTTTAAAATTTCTCAATGCAAAGTCCTGAAAATCATAGGGAATTTACTCACGTAGATAGAGAAGTTCTTTGGAGCACTGGTTATTTCTTCTGTGTGAGAAATTTTCTTTGAAATATGATCCAGGGTCACAGCGACCGGGCAGACGGCTTCGGACAATTTGATGACGACATAGCCTTGAGAACCTTGCATGGCCCAACAATTCCCAGGGGTGTTATCCCGCTGAAAAACAAAACAGTCTCATGCCTATCAAGAAAAGAGCAGACACAAATCTGGAGAATTCAGAAAATAAGTGTCGTTTGTATCCGAATTACACTAAAGACTCAAGTAACTCTTTACAAGTCCCCAACGGTGGTGGTGCTGGGGGGAACAAGAGTTTGTCCCTACTCTGGCAGCCAACACAAGATAGAAGTCAACGTGTCTGGACACCTTTATCTGGTTGTCACTGGGAAGCAAAACTATTGGAAGAGTGTTAAGAGGCTGCTTTTGGTACAGAATACCTTCCTGGGACTTGCTCTTAGTGGGACATAATCTGTTGCATTCCTGACCCCGTTGGCAGAACATATATAATAAGCCTGTCCCACCCCGTTATGCCCCACTCTGCCTGTTATGTACTGAAGTTCTCACCCTGAGCCAGCAGAAGGATACTGTAGATAGTTTTCACTCAGGTCCACATATGCAAATAAGGAATTGAAAGTGACGTTCAGTGATTAAATAGTTACAGTTTCATGTGTTGTGCTTTTACTGTATATTTCTTTTGTCTTAATGTGTATTAGTGTTTCCGGCTTTGGGGGGGGGCTCTTGGCTAAATAGGGGTGTACAAATAATCCATGCCACTGAGACTGGAGGGTAGGTGGATTTCTCTGCCGGATGCTTGAGAGGTAGTGGCGAGGAGTCAAAAAAATTGAGAAGGACCCCAAACATTGCTTTCCAAGATTCCTACCTCAAGAATCACTTCCGGTGCTCGTGAGTAATCCCAGCACAGCCCCAACATGCAAACCTGCGCTCCGGTTTCATAGCTTGTGCTGAATTTTACGATCGATGCGCCTACAGATATTAGGGCATTAAATAGGGAGGGTTCCACACACACACAAAAATCAAAAATTAGTAAGAGAAACATAGAGAATCCAATCAGAATTAAAATATCACAGTTGGCAAGTGCTAACCGCAAATCTATCGGGGTTTCCCAGTTCAAGTCAAACAGCCTCCAATATGGATTTGTTTCATTACTTCCACCACGACTCCTAGAATGAACATTTGGCAATGGAATGTCCCGTTCTTCATTTTTTTAAAAATACGTTTCTACAGAGTTCATCCCTCTCATTTTCCTTTGTTGAGTCTATCAGTAGCTGCCACGATATGTGATCATCAAGCAAATCCTATAGAGCTTTTTTTTTAAAAAAAAAAAGGTGCCAGTACTCACCATAAATTGTTAAAGTAAGTGCCACACTTTAAATGTTTGGGGATGACGGTACTGCATACCCCTGAGTACCCCCAGGGGGAGCACTGCCTGTTTCTCCCCTCTTTCTACTATCCCTTCTCCCTCTTTCTCTCTCTCTGATAACTCAATCATCTTTCTCTCTTCCCATTCCCTTTCCTGCCCACCAAATGGGTTCCTGGGGGAGGGACAGATTGGTCTGGTCCTGAGAGATTCTCCTCCCCCTGCACTCGCCTTCCATCATGTCATCCATTTGGGCTTCCTTTCCCCCCACCCTCCTTTCCCTTCCGACATGTAATTTGGGGAACAGCTACCTGAAACGCCCTACCTTTGCCGTAAAGCCTACATAGTAGAATGGTGCGATTATACCATATCAGACCCTCCAAGTATCCCTATTTTCCAGGGAAAGTCCCGGATTTATGGAAGCCACCCCAGTTTCTGATCTGATCCTGGAATGTCCCACTTTTCCTTAAGGTAAAGGTAGCCCCTGACCATTAGGTCCAGTCGCGGAGGACTGGACCTAATGGAGAACCAGAGCAGCGCACGGAAACACCGTTTACCTTCCCGCCAGAGCGGTACCTATTTATCTATTTGCCTTGTTGTGTTTTCCAACTGCTAGGTTGGCAGGAGATGGGACCGAGCAACAAGAGCTCACCCCGTCGCGGGGATTCGAACCGCCGACCTTCTGATCGGCAAGCCCAAAGCTCTGTGGTTTAGACCACAGCGCCACCATCATCCCTATCACTTTTCCTTAGGACGTCCCTGTTTCCCTTGGAGAAATGTTGGAGGGTATTCCATATTAATATGAAGTTAGAAGCCTGCAGGCAATATTCTAGTGGATAAATATTTGCACACACCAGAAATCAACAGATTCAAGGGAGGAGTTACTCCCCTCATGCTATATCGCTGCTGCTTGCACCCCAACACCACCTCTCTTCCCCACTCGCTTGTCTCTGTCTCACTGTTCCCTTGAAGCTCTGCTGCCTCCTAGTGTTTGTCTCCCACTCCATCTTTACCCTCTTCTTACCTGCAGATTTCAGGGCAAAGTCTTCTTTTTCAATCTGGTTGCTTTCCACTGCAGTGCCCCCCAATTGCTTGAAGAGATGCTGTCACAAAAAAATATACAATTGAGGTGTAGGAGAGAGAGCCCACCTTCCGCTATACAAACACATGCCCGATACTGCAGGTTATAGAAATAATTTCTCTTCTCCCATCCTGAGTCTTTTCCCCGGTTGATGTGGCCAAGAGGGGAATATACAATGTCTGGAAGTGGGGGTTGTGGTGAGGGAAAAGCTTCAACAAAGCAGTCAGGGATCAGTGGAGGAAAATGAGGGGAACCACCAATTAGAGGAGGAACCTTATGACTTTGGTGAACTCACAAGAGCATCCATACCAGAAGTATTGAGTTATTTTCTTCATAAGCAGAGACATCACCTTGCCAACAAAGGTCCGTATAGTTAAAGCTATGGTTTTCCCAGTATTGATGTATGGAAGTGAAAGCTAGACCATAAAGAAGGCTGATCGCCGAAGAATGGATGCTTTTGAATTATGGTGCTGGAGGAGACTCTTGAGAGTCCCATGGACTGCAAGAAGATCAAACCTCTCCATTCTGAAGGAAATCAGCCCTGAGTGCTCACTGGAAGGACAGATCCTGAAGCTGAGGCTCCAATACTTTGGCCACCTCATGAGAAGAGAAGACTCCCTGGAAAAGACCCTGATGTTGGGAAAGATGGAGGGCACAAGGAGAAGGGGACGACAGAGGATGAGATGGTTGGACAGTGTTCTCAAAGCTACCAACATGAGTTTGACCAAGCTGCGGGAGGCAGTGGAAGACAGGAGTGCCTGGCGTGCTCTGGTCCATGGGGTCACGAAGAGTCGGACATGACTAAACAACTAAACAACAACAACAAATTTAACTTTCATCCCACCATGAATGGGGCCAAGAACTTAACAACCAGCACAGCTGACTTAGAATAGATGGATGCCAACCCAGCCAGATCAGTCAGGTATTAATTCTTCTTCTTCTTCTTCTTCTTCTTCTTCTTCTTCTTCTTCTTCTTCTTCTTCTCCGATAGCCCTGTTTATGGCTGACTGTGGAGAAAAGGCATTTTGCAAAAATCTTCATGAGAGTAGCACAAGGCTCTCCTCTTTGGGTGATTTCTTAGGAATCGCTGTGAAAAGACTGTGAAGGATTCATTTATTTATTAAACTCATATCCCACCTTTCCACAAGGACACAGGCAGCTAACACTGACCCTATAAATACAAAAAGACCATCATATCAATTATATCACAAAGTGTTCATTTTTATTATCCCTGATTGTATGTGGTTCTCAGTAGGCTACGTTCACCAATATGATCTGTGTGGGAAATATTTGGATTTTGAAGATTTTCTAGTAAATATTGTTTTTATAAACACCATCAAAATATTATTGCCTCTGTAGATTTTTTCTGAGATGGTCAAATTGAATGTCTTTTTTCATGACTAAAATTGTTACAAGAAATTTTAATCAACATCTTGTGCCAGTCTTGGCTTAAAGGTAAAGGGTAAAGGGACCCCTGACCATTAGGTCCAGTCGTGACCGACTCTGGGGTTGCACGCTCATCTCACTCTATAGGCCGAGGGAGCCGGCGTTTGTCCGCAGACAGCTTCTGGGTCACGTGGCCAGCATGACTAAGCTGCTTCTGGCGAACCAGAGCAGTGCACGGAAATGCCGTTTACCTTCCCGCCAGAGCGGTACCTATTTATCTACTTGCACTTTGACGTGCTTTCGAACTGCTAGGTTGGCAGGAGCTGGGACCGAACAACGGGCGCTCACCCCGTCGTGGGGATTCGAACCGCCGACCTTCTGATCGGCAAGTCCTAGGCTCTTGGTTTAACCCACAGTGCCACCTGCGTCCCTTATGTCTTGGCTTATGTGGGCGAATTTCTTTGATTTGTCAGTTCACTTTCAAAGGGATGCATTACCTGATTGACTGCTAGCCAGTGATAACTGATAATTAGTTATTATAAGTCAGAAGTGTAAATAAATTGTAGCTCAGGTGATCCTCACCTTCTGGGACTCCCAGTGTCCATGGACACTTCCGATGGCATCTACGAGGCTCTGGAGACCAACAACGTTTTGACGGAAAGTACTGATCTGTTTCTGAAGATTCTGCTGAAGGGCCTCATTCTGGCGACTAAGCAGAAATGTGCAAAACAATCAAAATATCCACAATATTGCTTAAGCCTAAGCAAAATAGCTCACCATGGGGTCAAAGGATGGATTGTGTGGCTGTAGGGTCCTGTGGGGTGGGGAATTTGCTCTTCTTTTTTAAAAAAAGAACAAATCAGAATATCATCAAATTTTAGAAGCAGAGAGGGATAGATATTAGACTTATTTTTCCAGGAGTCATACATCATAGGGAATTTGTATCTGAATTTCCAGATCTATATATCGGACGTATTAAAATGGTCATTTGCCTTGTGCCAGTGATCAGAGAGCCGTATTAATTCCTTGTTTTACTATTGATTTCCTCCTGCTTCCTGACACCTTTCATTGCAAGTGAGGGATGAGGGCCTTTTCTGCAAAACAACACCTACTACAAACCAGTTTTCTTCTTCATTCACGCTGACAGGAAGGTCAGTGCTAAAATATTCTTTCGGTGTGCAGCCTGCCAAAGGTTGCAGACACATCAATCTCTCTTCCTACTATATTTTAGTTGCCAGCCAGGACCTGAGTCGCATCTTTATCAGAGTATAATCGTGCTTCTTTCTTATGGTGTGTGTGTGTGTAGATATCACCAGCCTTTTACAAGAACCACCTTCTGCCTTGCTGTGCAATTATCAGCTTGCATTTTAGGAGGTACAGATATCGCCATTCAAAACTAACCCATGGATTATGGCAGAGTAGGGGAACCTGTGGCCCTCTAGAGAGCACTGGACTTCAAATTTCCATCAGGCCCAAACTTTAGGGCCAATAGTAAGGAACGATACAAAATCTGGAGGCCCATAGGTCCCCCATACTGGCCTTATCCAAGGGTGGTGAACATCTGGCCTTCCAGGTGTGGCTGGCCTACATCTCCCATCATCCCTGATTATGGACCATTCTGGCTGCAGCTGATGCTGGTTGGAGACCAACAAGATCTGAAGAGCCACATGCCCCCATCTTTGGAGCATGGGTTTTCATCTTTGCCTCTGCTAAGCTCATCCAGGAGAATCAAACTGCATTTGCGTGTTTTTGCCTCGGGCTGAATTCAAAATGACAGTGTGCCGTACATCCATTGAGGAAGTTGTTTTACCTCAGCTGTACCTTCATCACCTGCTTGAAGGTATCAGAGGGGTTGCACAAGCCGTACAGAAATCCTAGAAGGAAACATGTACCACATTAATGGCTTTCTGAACCAATCAAAAAACCCATACACTTTTATCAGGATTAATCAGCAGAACATTGTATTATGCCTCTTCTCTAGTGTAGCACAGTTGAAAATACGTTTATCCACCAAATTCATTAAAGCATGCTTATTGTAGTGGAACAAAAATTGGCAAGATCTATATCATTTGGAAATCTCGGTTCATCTCATGGCTATCCACTGGGCAGCTGAAAAATTACAGTGGTACCTCAGGTTAAGTACTTAATTTGTTCCGGAGGGCTGTTCTTAACCTGAAACTGTTCTTAACCTGAAGCACCCCTTTAGCTAATGGGGCCTCCTGCTGCCGCTGCGCCACCAGAGCACGATTTCTGTTCTTATCCTGAAGCAAAGTTCTTAACCTGAAGCACTATTTCTGGGTTAGCGGTGTCTGTAACCTGAAGCATATGTAACCTGAAGCGTATGTAACCTGAGGTACCACTGTAATCCAAATCTGCCTGTTGGTTGGTGCTAGGCCTCAGAGGCAAGATGGCAATAGTAGACTTGTTCACATTACGCTGAACACAGGTACAAACTGTACAAGTGTGTGAAAAAGGATATCCTTGTTGATTTGTAAAACTCTACAATTTGTGTACACAGAATGTTAACATGTGAACACCCCAGATATTTTTGCATGGCCACCACACACAAATTCACTCTCGTGTGTGCATGCACATAGACATACAGCACACATAAGTGTGACTTAGTAGAAGTCAAGGTCTCAATGGATCCCTGTTTTTAGTAGTCTATATTTGATACACATTACAAATAAATGCACATCACAAATATATTCTGCAGATTATATAACCAAAAAAATGTGCTTAGGCTAGCTCTTTGAGGAACATACCAGAAAAGATGCCCAACAAGAATATTAGGGTCAGAAAAGCCAACATCTTCATGACAGGCCTTGGATGGTCTCCTGAGAAGATATAAATTCAAGTGGAAATCATGGAAATATATGATTTCTGAGCAATTGTAAACAGAGCATGTATACGCCTGAAAAAGGCTAACATTAGCAAGCAAGTCTATGTATGCTTTCTTCCTGTTATCAACATTGCTGCAGATTTTGGCTTTATTTATTTAGGATTTGTTTACTTAGGAAAGCAAGGGTCCCATCCTTTATAGGTAGAAAGAAGACTGGTGGAACAGTTTTGCTTGTTTTTATAATTGTGACTAGGGGTCTAAGAGGGCATCGCTTTTTGTTCACTCCTGTAGTTGTCACACGCAGCACTGTTTCTGCTATGCTGCAATTTGTCTTCTGCTAAGAAGTACATTATTTGTCTTGTTGCCCACTATGACAAAATTACATAACTTATGCGATCTGTGTAGCTATTAGAGAATGTAATAAATTATGTCTCATTTGTGGGCTGAAAGCAACTACGGCAAATATGGATCATATTCACTGGACTTATTTCCGTTCCAGACATAGGACCAATGAGCAAGCATTGGCAATTTCTGCTCCCATTTCCATTTTTATCTGACTTGGCCAATATCCCTAACTGAGATTGGTTTATCTGTTTCTATAACTATATATTATGGGTTGTATCCATATATATACATTCAATAAATAATAATAATCACAAAAGATGTCATGTTCAAACAAGGACTTTTGCATGTGCAAAGGAATCTGCTCTGAGGGGTTGGGGTGAAACCTACAACAGATTTGGGGGTGCATAGAGGGAAGAGAGGAAATGAAAGTTCAGTCACATAAGCAGAAGTTCTTGCACAATTGGGATGACTTCACTGGATTCAATCCTATGTTGCTATAACGCACCCTGGGCCCTTAAGGTGAAGAGCGAGTCAGAATTCTTGTAGATAGATCTAGAACTCATTCTCCTTACTTCTCTATTTCTGTTCTCCAAGTGAAAATATTTCATCTTAGTTCAAAGCTTGTTCTTTGAAGCCTGTTCTGATAATAATTTTATTAATTTTCAATTTGTTGTTTAGTCGTTTAGTCATGTCTGACTCTTCGTGACCCCATGGACCAGAGCACACCAAGCACTCCTGTCTTCCACTGCCTCCCACAGTTTTGTCAAACTCATGCTGGTAGCTTTGAGAAGACTGTCCAACCATCTGGTCCTCTGCCGTCCCCTTCTCCTTGTGCCCTCCATCTTTCCCAACATCAGGGTCTTTTTCAGGGAGTCTTCTCTTCTCATGAGGTGGCCAAAGTATTGGAGCCTCAGCTTCAGGATCTGTCCTTCCAGTGAGCACTCAGGGCTGATTTCCTTAAGAATGGATTGGTTTGATCTTCTTGCAGTCCATGGGACTCTCAAGAGTCTCCTCCAGCACCCTAATTCAAAAGCATCAGTTCTTTGGCGATCAGCCTTCTTTATGGTCCAGTTCTCACTTCCATACATCACTACTGGGAAACCATAGCTTTAACTATACGGACCTTTGTTGGCAAGGTGATGTCTCTGCTTCTTAAGATGCTAATTTTTTTTTAATTACCATTCAATAATATCCCCATTATAAAAATGCCAAATTATAATACAATTACTAATAACAATCATTCAAATACTGAATTATATAATTTGGATGCACAACCCCCCGCGTGCTAGATTTGATGGTTTGATTATTTTCTTTATTTCTGCATTGCAAAATCTTACTAATGTCAATTACATTCCGGTCAAAATAAGAATCCCTTATACAACAACTGCAATATTAACAACTTCCATTCATATAGACACATTCTATATCCTTGTTCTTCCTGTGTGTGGCAATTATTCTGTCCGTGATGTTTCTTCCTGCCCTTGTAAAATTTTATGTCTCTCTTTTCCTGGTTGTTGCTGTTCTCCATCACGCCTTGGGTGGAGCCGCTATCCCATTGTTGTTTCAGAAATTTCTCCATCTCTCCATCCCATGCTTCTTTGTTTTGCAACTTTAACAACAGCTGCAAAAATCACCATCCCAATAAATAACCTGTTTTCACAATTTTCCCTCTGAGCCTGGGAAGAAGAGTGGTCTGTCGAACTGAAGATGACTCAGTAATGAACCTTATCAGTTCCTTGGCATGTTCACAGACTTCTTTCATCCTTCTGTCCGGGTGAAGATAAATGAGCATTTATACTTCCAATAAAAGTCTGTTGAAGCCCGTTCACACAATCAATTTACTGTGGATGGTTCTCTTATACATCCACCAATGTATGCAATATTCGTCTTTTGGGAAGGTTGTGGTTCAAATTAGAGAACTTGATTAAGGGCAGAACATTGAGAAGATGCATGCTCTCCCTGTTTCCCTAAACCAGGGGTAGGGAATTTGTGGCCCCAACTCCTATCTACCCCAACCTGGATGATGCGGACCATTTGGATCCCTTCCAGTCGGGATTCAGGCCTCACCATGGGACTGAAACTGCCTTGGTCGTGCTGGTCGATGATCTCCGGCGGGCTAGGGACAAAGGTGAGAGCTGTTTCCTAGTTCTGCTGGATCTCTCAGCGGCCTTTGACACCGTCGACCATAACATCCTTCTGGACCGTCTAGAGGGGCTGGGAGCTGGGGGCACTGCTATAAAGTGGTTCCGCTCCTTCCTCCTGGGCCGTGTTCAGAAAGTGGGGGGGGGATGAGTGTTCAGACCCCTGGGCTCTCACTTGTGGGGTGCCTCAGGGTTCCGTCCTCTCCCCCATGCTTTTTAATATCTATATGAAGCCGCTGGGAGAGATCATCAGAGGGTTTGGGCTGGGTGTTCATCAGTATGCAGATGATACCCAGCTCTACCTCTCTTTTAAATCAGAACCAGTGAAGGCGGTGAAGGTCCTGTGTGAGTGCCTGGAGGCGGTTGGAGGATGGACGGCAGCTAACAGATTGAGGTTGAATCCTGACAAGACAGAAGTACTGTTTTTGTGGGACAGGGAGCGGGCGGGTGCGGGGGACTCCCTGGTCCTGAATGGGGTAACTGTGCCCCTCAAGGACCAGGTGTGCAGCCTGGGAGTCATTTTGGACTGACAGCTGTCCATGGAGGCACAGGTTAATTCTGTGTCCAGGGCGGCTGTCTACCAGCTCCATCTGGTACGCAGGCTGAGACCCTACCTGCCTGCGGACTGTCTTGCCAGAGTGGTGCATGCTCTAGTTATCTCCCGCTTGGACTACTGCAATGCGCTCTACGTGGGGCTACCTTTGAAGGTGACCCGGAAACCGCAATTAATCCAGAATGCGGCAGCTAGACTGGTGACTGGGAGTGGCCGCCAGGACCACATAACACCGGTCCTGACAGATCTGCATTTGCTCCCAGTACGTTTCCGAGCACAATTCAAAGTGTTGGTGCTGACCTTTAAAGCCCTAAACGGCCTCGGTCCTGTATACTTGAAGGAGCGTCTCCACCTCCATCGTTCAGCCCAGACACTGAGATCCAGCTCTGAGGGCCTTCTGGCGGTTCCCTCATTGCGAGAAGTGAGGTTACAGGGAACCAGACAGAGGGCCTTCTTGGTAGTGGCGCCTGCCCTGTGGAACGCCCTCCCTTCAGATGTGAAGGAAATAAGCAGCTATCTTCTCTTTAAAAGACATCTGAAGGCAGCCCTGTTTAGGGAAGTTTTTAATATCTAATGCTGTATTGTTTTTAACATTTGATTGGGAGCCGCCCAGAGTGGCTGGGGAAACTCAGCCAGATGGGTGGGGTATAAATAAATTATTATTATTATTATTATTATTATTATTATTATTAACCAGCAAATAATCAGGGATGGTGGCAAAGGAGTTATCACCCAACAACATCCAGCTGGACCAAAGTTCCCCCACTTCTTCTCTAAAACTACTCAGCTAACCTACCTGCATGTTGGAAAGCAAGAGAAACTGGGTTGGTTCTCAGTTGTGTCCCGGCTCCGAGGAGAGATGGGCTGCTGTAGCTCTTCATCTGCTGCACTTCTATAACTATCAAAAGTAAAACGTCACCTCAATAAAGGTAAAGGTAAAGGAACCCCTGACCACTAGGTCCAGTCGTGACCGACTCTGGGGTTGCGGCGCTCATCTCACTTTATTGGCTGAGGGAGCCGGCGTACAGCTTCCGGGCCATGTGGCCAGCATGACTAAACCGCTTCTGGTGAACCAGAGCAGCACACGGAAATGCCATTTACCTTCCCACTGGAGCGGTACCTATTTATCTACTTGCACTTTAACGTGCTTTCGAACAGCTAGGTTGGCAGGAGCAGGGACCGAGCAACAGGAGCTCACCCCGTCGCAGGGATTCGAACCGCCAACCTTCTGATTGGCAAGCCCTAGGCTCAGTGGTTTAACCCACAGAACCACCCACGTCCCCACCTCAATAAGCATTTCTGTTAAGGGCCAAGGGTCTGTAGCTCAGCGTCAGAGAACATGCTCTGCACACAAGAGGACTGCGGCTCAGTCTCTGGCCCCTTCCATTTAAAAGGATCAGGGATCAGGTGATGAGAGAGGCTCTTCTTCATCTGAGACCCTGGAGAGATGCTGCCAATCAGAGTAGACATTACTGGGCCTGAGGGGCAAAGTAGCTTCCTATGGCTGACTTGCAATTTCTTACTTTCCCATTTTCTATATTTCCTCCATTTATTTTATTAGCAATATTTAAAGACCACCCTATAACCAAGTTCTCAGGATGGTGAAAGAGAGAGAGAGAGAGAACAGGATAGAAATTGTTAAAAGAATTTAAAGGTCTCAAATGTCAAGTAAATATTTGGACAAAATAGGTCAAGGTAAATGTGAAAGCAACATATATGCTGCTCTTTACAATCATTGAACTAGAAAAACACTTTAAAACGTTCAGCTAACTGAAAGAAAACATAGTTTCCCAAACTGCACTTACAATGCATATATACTTACATCTCACACATCAAGATTTTTTAAAAATAATAATAATAATAATGTACAAATGCAGTCATTTTAATGTTTGCAGACTGCCAACTATATATAAAGGCAAGGTTTTCTGAAGAAAAAAATTAAAAATACCTTAGATTCTTAGAAGATAAATAAAGGGATGGTAGTTATTATTATTTCACAATATCACTATTTTGAAACAAAAGGGAGGGGAGAAAAGAACTGTCAGCCCATAGCATGAATCTCTGGAATAACTGAAATGACAACAGTGTTGTTGTTGTTTAGTCATTTAGTCGTGCCTGACTCTTCGTGACCCCATGGACCAGAACACGCCAGGCACTCCTGTCTTCCACTGCCTCCCGCAGTTTGGTCAAACTCATGCTGGTAGCTTCGAGAACACTATCCAACCATCTCCTCCTCTGTCATCCCCTTCTCCTTGTGCCCTCCATCTTTCCCAACATCAGGGTCTTTTCCAGGGAGTCTTCTCTTCTTATGAGGTGGCCAAAGTACTGGAGCCTCAGCTTCAGGATCTGTCCTTCCAGTGGGCACTCAGGGCTGATTTCCTTAAGAATGGATAGGTTTGATCTTCTTGCAGTCCATGGGACTCTCATGTGTACACTGCTAACAGTGTAGGCCCCAGGAAATGCCCTCTAGAAAGGTCATTCTATAGCTGGGGTGCCACCACTTAAAAGGCCATATCCAGGAACAACAGCGGGTAAGGCTGAGAAACATGCTCACTTACTCGCCTTACACTCTCTGAGGCCCCAAAACTTACTAGCTCCTTCCATTTCCCCAACTTCAGTTCCACATTTAGAAGAGAACAGTTATACATTTTACGTATTCTATTTTAGAGTAAAAGTTTGAATAATACTTTTATGGGTCCGGACAATGATTTATTCCAAAAGGAGTCCATTCTCATGCTTCCAGTTGCTTCAAATGGAGCAATATTAATTTCGGCAACAAGCCCACCAGTAATATTGGAAGATGCCCTCCATGGAGAAGACACCATGCTGAGGATGCCCTCAAAGCTGAAGTCACCCTTGACTGCAATGCTAAACAGCTACCGCAAGGAGGACTGTGTCTCTCACTGCCTGATGCAGAGTCCTCTTCCATCATGGGCCTCTGTGCCTCTTCTCAACAGGTCATGTGCCCCATCTCCAAATGGAGCTTAAAATGGTAAAGGACCCCTGACAGTTAAGTCCAGTTGCAGACGAATCTGGGGTTGCGGCACACATCTCACTTTACAGGCCGTGGGAGCCAGCGTTTGTCCACAGACAGTTTTTCTGGGTCATGTGGCCAGCATGACTAAGCCGCTTCTGGTGCAACGGAACACCAAAACCAGAGCAGCGCACGGAAACACCGTTTACTTTCCCACCACAGCGGTACCTATTTATCTACTTGCACTGGTGTGCTTTCAAACTGCTAGGTTGGCAGGAGCTGGGACCAAGCAACGGGACCTCATCCCGTCACGGGGATTCGAACCGCCAACCTTCTGATCAGCAAGCCCAAGAAGCTCAGTGGTTTAGACCACAGCTCCACCTGCGTCCCTAAATGGAGCTTAGAGGGGGACATATTGCTGCTGCTAGCTAGCTTACTTTTCAAGAAAAAATGCACCCAAGACCCGAACATACCTAGAACAAGTGGCTTCTGATCAGGGCACATCACGATATTAGCGTTAGGTTCCATCGGTGGAGGCGTTTCAAAACAACGTTGTGCAATTAAAGGATTTTGATCAGGCAAGTCTTTACCTATTAGAGACAGATGACATTGTTAGCACAGAGGTCCAGAGGAATCAAGGAAGAGCTTGATGTTTTGGATTTGTATGTCATGCACAAACAAGTTGTTAAGAAATGGGTTGTCCTCCCCAGACCCAGCTTAAAGGTTTGCCGTGGGGACAGGAGGAGAATGACTGCATTCCTTGTGAACTCACATGCTCAAGGCATATAGACCACCGAAAGTGCAGTGGGAAGGTTTTTCCCCACATAGAGAACGAAAGCAAGACCAAGTGCTGTTCTCAGATCAATCTAAGTCTCACCACCACAACCACATGGCTTTTAAAAAGTAATGGACTATGTGGAATTTACAAAGCTGACAGCAGTATTAAGGGATCAAAATAATGAACATTTTATAGAAGAATGGAGGCCCTTTGTGGACTATTTGAAAAAACACTACAGTCAAAGAAATCATGGGCAGGATTCAAGATAGGAGCTGCGGAAGGAAAACAAGAAAGTACCGTCGTACCTCGGAAGTCGAACGCCTTGCGACTCAATCGTTTTGGCTCCTGAACACCACAAACCCGGAAGTGAGTGTTCCAGTTTGTGAACATTCTTTGGAACCGGAACCAGAAAGGTCTCCCACCCAAGGTTTAGCGTTACATGTGAACTCGACCGCTTCATTTTTCAGAAAATGCACCCTGATCTACATCAGGACTACAGTGCACAGGGAAGGGCGGTTGAACCCTTTCCCCAACCCCCTTACTGTTTTCCAAGCCCTGCCCCCCTAGCAATCACTTTTTCCAGCTGTAATTTGACCATAAAAGCAAATGCAGTGCTACCTTGGTTCTCAAACACTTTGGTTCCCAAATGCCAAAAACCTGGAAGTAAGTGTTGCGTTTTTCGAATATTTTTCGGAAGCCGAATGTCCAATACGGCTGTCAGCTATTGCTTCCAGGCACTAATCAGAAGCTGCGCCTTGGTTTTCAAACATTTCGGAAGTCAAACGGACTTCTGGAACGAATTAAGTTTGGCACTTTTGTTTCTGCTATTTATTTTGTGTTTTTGTTTTTGAGGCTTTTTCGGTTAATTTGTTTTTGTGACTGTGTGGAACCCAGTTCAGCTACTGATTAATTGATTGATTGTGTGACTGCAGAAATGGATAATGACTATCATCCATGCAGATAAGAAAAAATAATAATTTTAATTTTTATCATCTACAGTATTGTCTTATTTATTTTATAGTACAGTACAGTGGTACCTCAAGTTACATATGCTTCAGGTTACAGACTCTGCTAACCCAGAAATAGTACCTCGGGTTAAGAACTTTGCTTCAGGATGAGAACAGAAATCGTGCTGGGACGGCGCAGCGGCAGCTGGAGGCCCCATTAGCTAAAGTGGTGCTTCAGGTTAAGAACAGTTTCAGGTTAAGAACGGACCTCCAGAACGAATTAAGTACTTAACCTGAGGTACCACATTGATTATTGCTTTCATTTTATGGATCAATGGCCTCGTTGGATAGTAAAATTCATGTTAAATTGCTGTTTTAGGGGTTGTTTTTAAAAAACTGGAACGGATTAATCCATTTTGCATTACTTTCTATGGGAAAGGGTGCCTTGGTTTTGGAACGCTTTGGTTTTGGAACGGACTTCCGGAACAGCTTAAGTTTGAGAACCCAGGTGCCACTGTAATGTTTGCAGTAAAAAAAATTAAATTAACTGCCTTCTTATAATTTGAGAATAAAGAGAATAAAAAAAGAGAATAAAGCTATAGAGACTAGTATGGCACAGCATTTGAGCTAACTCACTCAAGATACCATATTGCACATTCCGCTTCGCACAGTGTTTACTTTAGGCCTTATCTCCTTCACCCCATAAAGCAAGTGTTGTGGGAAGTTGAACTCGATTCCAAATGCCGATTTGCGGATTATGTCCTAAGCACACCCACCAAACATCACTGTAGTATCTCAGCGCTCAGTGGAAATGTTGCATTATGGTACATTTTTGTATCTTTCATAGCCCCTCTGAAAACCCGGACAGGAATCAAACTCGGGTCTGGAATGCAAAACTGCATTGTGGGTTTATGCATACCAGTTTTTATTCTGGAATCTCAAAATGCAAGGGAGATGCTGTTTTACAATATAATTCTTACCACTTTGATGTAAGGAATTAGAGACCAGGAGTTTGGTTTCTTTGTTTTGTTTTTAATGTTCCAATATTAATGGTATTGAATCTTTGGCATTAGGCTTGATTTTGCAGGCCTGCATTTTATGACTCCTGCGCTGCATTCCCTTTCCTATCTGACCCTGAAAGTGGCGCAAATGGCAAGATGTTTTGCTATGTCTGCCGTGAGTTAGCGCCGCAATCGCCTTGAGAGCTTCCAAGGAACAGATAAGGGCAGGAATGTCAACAACCCTCTCGAAGGGCTGGATGCTGAGGAAACAGTGATAAAGGAGGACATCTGAGACCCCAATGGCCTGAGCAGTTGAGGGGCACCTCAAGGTAATTGTGGGGGTGAAGTTGCCAGTATGGAGCTATGCATGTTTTACTTCTCATGACCTGTAGCCTTTCTTGATGTATGTAGAAGAATGCTTGACTCTTTGTGCGCTGTGTTTGAGCCACTATATAAGCTTTGTTTGGGACTGTTATGTACTGAAGTTCTCACCCTGGGCCAGCAGGGGGATACTGTAGATAGTTTTCACTCAGGTCCACATATGCAAATAAGGGATTGAAAGTGACGTTCAGTGATTGGATGGTTACAGAAAATGGTTACTGTTGCCTTCTAGTGGAGCTCTATATAAGCAGGCTGGCTGAACCCTTCAGTTCAGTTCTGTTCTGGCCGGTGAATAAACAAGAGCTGTTTGAAGAATCGCTGTGTCGTCTGATATGTTCACCCACAACTTATCAGGGACAGACTTTTTTTAACTGGTGGTTCAGCCAGAACACCAGTTGCTGAAGCATGAGACCTAAATCCCAGGGTTATGGATTTGAGCCGCATGTTGGGTAAAAGATTCCAGCATTGCAGTGCTCCTTTCCAACTCAACAAGTCTATGATTCTGTGACATTCAGAATATGTCAAAACCCCATTAAACTGGGCTCTGTCCTATTGCAATACAGTGGTACCTCGGGTTACATACGCTTCAGGTTACATACGCTTCAGGTTACAGACTCCGCTAACCCAGAAATATTACCTCGGGTTAAGAGGATGAGAACAGAAATCGTGCGGCAGCAGCAGGAGGCCCCATTAGCTAAAGTGGTGCTTCAGGTTAAGAACAGTTTCAGGTTAAGAACGGATCTCCAGAACGAATTAAGTACTTAACCCGAGGTACCACTGTACAGTCATACCTCATGTTACGTCCGCTTCATGTTACGGTCTTTCAGGTTACGTCCCACGGCGACCCGGAAGTACTGGAAAGGGTTACTTCCAGGTTTCGCCGCTCATGCATGTGCAGAAGTGTGAAATGACATTACGCAGATGCGCCGCTGCGGGTTGCGCTCTTTTCATGTTGCGAACAGGCCTCCGGAACGGATCCCGTTCGCAACCAGAGGTACCACTGTAGTTAATAAACTGGATCCCTAACTGGATCTGCTGAAGCTTGCTGCAATTCACTCGGTCCCGTTTTTATTTAAGCTCAGCTATGATTTAAAGTGACATGCCCGTGTCTCGCTTGGCCACTGAGGGAGCAGAATTAAATGTTGCGATGTCCGAATAAGGCCGTTTGTGCTACACACAAACAAACAAAACTGCAACTCGGTTGGTTCAAGTGTGGTGCTGATAATGGCGAGGTTGCAGGTTCGACCTCCTATGAGACAACCACACATTCTTGCATTGCAGGGGGTTGGACTAGATGACCCTCGGGGACCCTTCCAACTCTATGATGCTATGAGACACACTGAACATGCACGAGGCAAGTTAAACCAAAGGCCTCACTTCACTTAGCCGATGAGCACACTCACTACAGCAAGGCTGCATCAGGTCTTCCGATCCACTGCTTTTCGCCCCCCAACTCTTCTGGGAGCAAGTCTCCTTCCAGGTTTTGGAATCCCATTTTGCTTCTGAGGCAAGAGAGTTGCGCTTCCTGCGGATTCTTTTGAAAACCCTGAGAAAAGAAAGTTCAAAGGTTTTTTTGTGGCGAGAGAGGGGACCTTACTGGGAGGGGAACTCATAACTCAGCAGTACATGACTGCATTGCCAAAAGAACCGGGTTCAAATCCTGGTGTTTCCAGGTAGGGCTGCCAAGGACCCCCTGTCTGAAACCCCAAAGAGCCACTGCGAGTCCATTAAAGGTAAAGGTAAAGGAACCCCTGACCATTAGGGCCAGTCGTGGCCGACTCTGGAGTTATGGCGCTCATCTCGCTTTATTGGCCGAAGGAACCGGTGTACAGCTTCCGGGTCATGTGGCCAGCATGACTAAACCGCTTCTGGCGAACCAGAGCAGCGCACAGAAACGCTGTTTGCCTTCCCGCCGGAGCGGTACCTATTTATCTACTTGCACTTTGAGGTGCTTTCAAACTGCTAGGTTGGCAGGAGCTGGGACCGAGCAACAGGAGCTCACCCCGTCAAGGGATTCAAACCGCCAACCTTCTGATTGGCAAGTCCTAGGCTCTGTGGTTTAACCCACAGCGCCACCCGCGTCCCTTGCAAGTCCGTTAGGGAGGAAATGCCAAAATGGACAGATTTGCTCATCCCCTGCGAGTCCGTTAGGGATGAGCAAATCTGTCCATTTTGGCATTTCCTCACTTTTTCTGTATCATCCAAAAAAACCAAAATGAAAAACCACCCAGCTGCAACCTCCCTCCAAGATGATTCCATCATGCAGTGCAGCTCTGGTGCATTGCTTGTATAAGCAAAATCCTGAACCTAAGAGCAATGGGAAGAACACGAACCATTTCCACATACACTGAAATGCAAGCAGGCCACAGCACAATGTTATTCTTGCATAAACCAGGTCACAACATGTTACCCAAGCTCCCTTGTACCTCCTCACTCCCGTTTCTCGGTACGAAATGGGTTTCAGCCTTTGGAGAATGGCCAATCTTTCGCTGCGCCGTTCCAGTATAATCCTTTCGCTGTGGCATTCCATGGTCATCCTGCTCAACATGATCAATAATTATTATTATTTATTTATACCCCGCCCATCTGGCTGGGTTTCCCTAGCGCTCTGGGCAGCTCCCAACAGAACATTAAAAACACGATAAAACATCAAACATTAAAAACTTCCCTAAACAGGGCTGCCTTCAGATGTCTTCTAAAGGTCAGATAGTTTCCTTGACATCTGGTGGGAGGCCCTCAGAGCTGGACCTCAGAGTCTGGGCTGAATGATGAGGGTGGAGACGCTCCTTCAGGTATACTGGGCTGAGGCCGTTTAGGGCTTTAAAGGTCAGCATCAGCCATATCACACATGAAGTGTGATTTCATGCATCCAGAACTGCGATCCAACTGAATCACAATACTGGCAGCGGCAAACCACAGCGAAGGATATTCACCTTTTGTGCTCCTGCTGTGCCACAGCAGGGAGTAGTGCCGTGTGTAGAAATCAACATCCCGATATATCTCACCTTTAACTTGGTTGGAAAAGCCAGTTTCTGGTCCTTACTGCTATGGAGATAGGCTTGGAACAGTGAGGGAAACGTATGGCGAAATCTCAGAATTGAGCAGAGCAACAAATGTTCTTCACTGACTCCCTGCAAACCAGAACCAAGCAATAAATAAATAAATTCTTTTTTAAAAAAATATTTTTATAAATAAATACATTCTACCTTCACTGTGAACCAAAATCAATGAAATTGGCTGAAGGAATTCCATGGGTTCATTTGGAGTTGGTTCACGTCGCACAGCTTCCTGCTGAAATCATGCAACTTTTTATACAAAAAAAAAAATTCAGGAGGGCAAGTGCTCCTCTTTCGTTGTGCTAAAGTGCAAGGTTACCCTCTGGGTGGTGAAAATGGAGAAGCAGAACGACTAATAAAGCAGAATTCTGCGTGGATAGTATAAACCCATCACTAACGCACTATTATTGCAGAATACAACTGCATAAAAAAAAAACCCAACCAGCACAAGTCCAGGGAGACCCGTCTATAACCCCTTGCAGTTTCATTGCACTATCACAAGGAACATTACAAATAATTCTATAAGAAGGACAGTATTACTGACCTTACAATGGCCTAATCCTTCATCTCCTGACCTCAGTAACATCAATTTGAATGAAGGAGATCCGAATGTGGTACTTCTATGTCCTGAAAGGGAAGTGATTCCAATGTATATGACTGGATACAAACTGCATGTATTTCATCCTTGAGAGGCAGCATATATAGAGGCCTCCTATGAAACAGTTTGAAGGTAAAACAAAATGACCTCATAAATGACTTCACTTTGGTAACATTGCACCAGGTGTGAGGTCATGCAGGAGCCCCAGGAGTTGCACTGTGTCATTGACACTTAGGAAGAAAATCCTTCATCATATATATCCGGAAATCAATATTGGCTCTTGGCTCTCCTATCGCTGGTACGCTGGATACATCATGGCAACTTTTCCATTTAGTATTCATTAAACTTCTGGTGCCTTTTATTTACTTAATTTGTTTCCTCTCTTCTTCTGCCTCTTCCCAACGCTCAGGGCAGTTAACAGCAGGTTTGGTAGAGTGAAATATAATAAGAACAGGCATATCCCAATGGAAAATGTTAAAAATAACCCCCCAACTATCAGGTATTAACAATCAGCCTGGACAAGAAAGATTAGACTGTGTATCGTCAACTATGATGGAGTACTAAGGAAAAGGAGATCCAGCACTGAGAGACAACTGAATAAGGACACATTATGTTGTGTTTTTGTTGTTTGAAGGTGTTGCACAGACGGTACATTCATGATGGTCCTATCGATTGATCATCGTGTCATGATGCAGAAGAAAGAAGAAAGCACCCTCTGCAATATGGAGGACCCAAGCTATTGGAATTGATGGAAGCTGGAAAGAGATTACGTAATTAAATAGGTTGTCCTCTACTTATGTAAAGCTTGCTCCTATTGAAATAACCGACTACGACTAACATGCTTTACATGCAAGTGAGATGTTCGATGGCTACCGGGAATGCGGGTGGGAGGCGGGCAGTGGCCTTAGATTTCCCGTTTCAAATATTGCATGTATGAATGTGGCCCATAAACCACAGAGATCACATTGGGGAGAATTCCAATGGCAGTGGAGGTGTGTTTTTCAGAAACATAAAATGCTGAGAAATAATTTCTCCCCTATCAATAGGAGCCAACTGACAGCTACAAATGGGAGGTAGCTCTGAGACAAATAGGGATTGGATGAGGGAAGTCTGGCAACTTACACAACTATCTAAATTAGCTGGAAGGTTTAGGTGAAGGGATGGAAGACAGCAAAAGCCGAGATTTGAGGAAGGATGTGTGCAGAGTGAAAAACATGGAAACCAGGGATCTTGTGGATACATACAGGATCAGATGCAGCCTTCCTCAAAATACTAGTAGCTGAGGGACAGCAGTAGGAGACGACTGTTGCCCTCAGGTCAGTTTGTGGACTTCTCTTAGGCATCTGGTTCTCCAGTCAAGGAATCTGGCACTAGACTTGATAGACCTTTTGTCTGATCCAACAGGACTCTGATGTTCTGATAAACAAAGGCTAGGATAAGCCCATATTATTTTATTTACATCCCGCCCTCCCCGGCCAAGACTGGGCTCAGGGCAGCTAACATCAGGTATAAAAACAAATTATTAAAATACAACTTAAAAACAAGTGTAAAATACTACTTAAAATGCAGCCTCGTTTCAGTGGAAGCCCAGATCAAAAACTGTTTGGGGGGAAAAAACGTCAAATCTTCACTAAGGCCAACTATCCAGACTGGTCCTACGTGGGCCAGAAAAGCCAGGGAAGTCCCCAAATGGGGGTTCCAGCTCTTCTTCCTCCCCGAGCTCAGCAGAGGCGGCATTGGCCGGGGGAGTGGAGATATTCCGGGATCAAACCAGAAGCTGGGATGGCTTTCATAATTCTTAGACTGTCCCTGGAAAAGTAGGGATAATTGGAGGGTGTGAAGCAGTCCAGATGAGAACATTAAAAGAGCAGCGGGGGTTTTTCATGGTTTAGAAAGGAGAATCTGACATAGACAACACAACCTTTTTCAAAGCAGAGAGCGCAGCGTTGTAGCTGCACAGCAAATTAGTCTAAAAGAGAAATCTGCTGTTTGTTTTTGATTTGGCCATCCTTTTAGACAACCATATAAAATACATTCTTTTGATTCTACTCCAGTGTTTAAAAAGGGAGGGAGAGGCATTATCTCTGTAGGAGTTCTTACTGCACATCATTGAATAACTTTGTGTGCAATAAGATTGTTTTTTAAGCTGCGCATTCCCAGGCTGAACGGACCGACAATGTAAAAACTCAAATGATCTCTTAATGGTGTTTTAGGAGTCTTTTCTTTTAACTCACCAGCAACAGATCTGTTGTGAGTCATGCCAAAATTCCAATATATTGCCTTATAATGAGAGTAACCAAGTATAGAGAAAATCAATCTGAAACACCCAGACGAACAGCTGTAGGAATATGCCTCAAAGCTAGTTTTATGCTTTAATTAACAGCACACTTATTTAATGTTTAATTGTCTCAAACAGCCAGCCATTCCAATTCTAGAGGGGAAATAGAACCCAAAAAGCAAGATAACCAGAAGCACAAAGGAACCACAACAGGCTTGATTTTGTGGAGGAAATTAGGTCTCCATGCAGAAGTGTGGAAATACTCCTGGGTTTAGCTTTACATCAGGTGCTGTTTTTCGCAAAAAAAAAGAGGTTCTGGAACTCACCATGAACACCTCCCTCGTTCTCTGAGAATGGCAATGGCGCCCACCTGAGAGGTGCCAGAAGTGAGTTCTGACAACTTCCAGCTGGAAAAAAAAAGCCCTGTTTACATCTGAATGACCCAGTGGAATTGGGCACCTTTCTACAAGTTCAACTGGTGCACCACAGTATCTCACACTAGATGTAAATGAATTGTGAAAAAGACTCTATGAATTGAAAGTGGAGACACCCTACGTACTTTGTTTGTTTTGTTTGTTCCACGAGAAAACCTTTAATAAAAAAACTAATTAAAAATAATGAGTGTGCCATCTGCTCTTGTTTATGAGTACGTCAGGCCTGGCTATGGGGACATGTCAATTTCTATCCTGTCAATTTCCTTCTCAGCCCAATTCATAATATCGGCGATTAAATAGTTTTTGTCCAGGACCACCTCCTCCTATAGGGACGTGGGTGGCGCTGTGGGTTAAACCACAGAGCCTAGGACTTACTGATCAGAAGGTAGGCGGTTCGAATCCCCGTGATGGGCTGAGCTCCCGTTGCTCGGTCCCTGCTCCTGCCAACCTAGCAGTTCGAAGGGATGTCCAAGTGCAAGTAGATAAATAGGTACCGCTCTGGCAGGAAGGTAAACGGCGTTTCTGTGCACTGCTCTGGTTCGCCAGAAGCGGCTTAGTCATGCTGGCCACATCACCCAGAAGCTGTACGCCGGCTCCCTCGGCCAATAAAGCGAGATGAGCGCCACAACCCCAGAGTCAGTCATGACTGGACCTAATGGTCAGGGGTCCCTTTACCTTTACCTCTTCCTGTACCTCCCCCTGCCTCATCTCTAAGGTCAGAATGACCACTCCCCACATTAAATGGGGGGCCGCCTTTTGCGTGGTCGCGCGCAACCCCTGGACCCTATGCGGCACCATTAGCACAGGCTTGGCGTTGCCTTCCCTAGGTGGGATACCTGGAGGTCTCCGCCTACCTCAGCCAGTTGCCCAATCCTGCCTGGGGAGGCGTTGCCAAGGTGATCAGGCCAGGTAGGGGGAGGGACCACCTGCCCACACAATAGAGGGAGGATCTTACCTGGGAATCATCAGTCAGCTCCAGAGCTTCTCCCACCCTACCCACCCTCAATTAAGACTTCTTTTGCAGGTTAACCTTTTCTCCACAGGTATGTGGGTGCTGCTACATCAGGGTCGCTGTTGAAGGGCCGGAAAGGAATTCACCTGCATTGGCAGGTTTGCCTTTCCCATAGCAAAATGTCACAACTTTGGCGGTATCAGGCCTTGGGTGAAATCCTTTATCTTCCCTAAATGGGGGTGGGTATGTAGCGTTGACCCACGCCCCCTCCTCCTTGCGGCGGCGATACCAGGGTTCCCCGTTAAAGGGGTTGTTTGAGGGGAGGCTTTGGCCGTACGCCTAGAGGTTGTCATTGCTCTCCCCTGCGACGGCGGCGTAACGGGGGCGGGCTCCCTCTGCTTGAACATATGTTCTCCAGAGCCAGCCCAATCCCCACACATTCTGGATAACCCTGATGTTCCCCAGATCCCCAGCGGGGGACTAGGAGGGATAAACACCCAATGCCTGAGTCAAGGTCTACCCACATCTGAAACATAATAAAGTTGTGGCCAATTTTAATCCCATGGCACGTTGTCTTGAGTCGTTATTCCACATGGGGGGCGCCCTGGATTTGGGGGACTCCGCCTGTCCATACAATGAAAATAACTTCCCTGTGTCCCAGCCAGAGGGTAGGCACAGTTGATGACAGAAAGAGCCAATATCTTTTCAGTGGCTGCAGCAATATTATGGAACACCTTGCCCTATTAAGAACAGTCGCTCCCCACCCCACCCGGTGGTCTTTCACTGGTGGATAAATACATATTTATTCCAGCAGGCTTTTCCCCGCTAAATATATGCTGTTTTACATGCAGCTTATGTTTTTATCTGTGCTTTCTGCAATGAAAGTATTTTTATTGCATTAATAAATATTTTTATTGTTATAGGTTAATATGCAATTTTATTAATGAATTTTAGCGTATTCATCTGCAGCATCTTATTCCTATAGTTTTAGAACCACATTTGCTCCGGGTTTGTTTCCAAGCCCAGTCCAAAGTGCTGGTTGTGGTCTTTGAAAGCACTAAGCAGTGAGGTTATCTGAAGGATGGCTTATCTTCATAGAAGACTGCCCATCATTTGAGAACTTGAGCGAGTCTCTGCCTTGTGTCCCATTATTGTTCAAAACTAGGCGGGTGGGGATTGTAAGGCCGAGTGTCTCTGTGCAGTGACACCCGGGTGGAATCTAGACACATATAAAAATGTTTTAAAATATATAAAAATACTTTTTTTAAAAAAAAAAGTTTTGAAAAACATATTGAATCTGCCATAGCTCACCATCGCCATCTAG